TTATTATTATTATTATTATTATTATTATTATTATTATTATTATTATTTGCTGGGTTTGAAAAGAGCTTTCAGTAAAATCTGCTTTCTTGGAAACTTGGTCTGTGTCTGTGGTTTTGTTGCAGTGCTTGTTCTGTGATTCTCGCATGAGCCTCTGGTCTTGAAGAATTACCCAATATAGGTTGACCGAGTTGTACAGAGCTTCAGTCACTGAATTTAAAGAGGATTCATAGATCATGGTTCCCAATGGGTCAGTATCAAAATGGGAAGTAGAAATTGGCTAGCAACTAAAAGGTAGAGGATTTTTATCAGTATCCTAGCCATAGCTGATGGAATATTGTAGACAGATAAAGGTAAAAAAAATTGGTTTCCCTTGTCCAGTCATGTGCAACTCTAGGGTAGTAGTGCATGTCTTCATTTCTTAGCCGAGGGAGCTGGCAATCATATTAATATCAATAGATCCACATCAAGCAAAACTCCAAGGCAATTAGATTCCTCAAAGAATAGCTTTATTGCAAATATCATATTAGCATGTATCTGGTGAAAACTGACTCTGAAAACTCCCGTGGTTTTCACCTAATTAAAAGTAAAAGATTTTCTACTTCCTCAAAACAATCAGTCACATGTTCCAATCATGGTGTGGTCTGACAGCTGGGTAGCATCACTCCACCTTCCTCCGAACAGGTGTGAGAATGACCTTGGTTCCCAAGAGAAAGTATTTTGTTTTGGCTACAGAATCCCCTCTATCTCAAATCCTCCCTGCCTATCCCTCAGCTCCAGTGTGGCTTCAGTCAGGTCAGGGTTGACACCAGCATTGTTCAAAGAAATCTCTGTGGTCATGTGGTACACAGAACATTTGGGGCATCTCAGTGCACAGAACACTTCATGAACCTGTTTACCTTGCCACTGAAGTGGTACCTATTTATCTACTTGCATTTGCATGCTTTCGAACTGCTAGATGGGCAGGAACTGAGGCAACAACGGGAACTCACCCCGTTTTATGCTGCTGGGGACTCAAACCTGGGCTGTCAGCTTTCCAACCGACAAGCCCAGGATCTTAACCACTAAGCCATCATGTCCCTCTTGTAGACAGATCCATCCAGTCAAATAGAGATTTATAAAAGTATAAGTGTCTTTGGAATGCATGGGATAAATTATCAGGAGTATGCAAATCAGCTCTGCCATGTTTCAAACTCTCCATTGAATTCAGAACTTTGGTTCCATCTGAGAATTTGAACCGATCCATAATATCATTCCTCAAACTGGCCTGATTCACTTCCGACTTCTGGATGAATTTTGAAGTGGGAGAAAGGGGTCTTGCATATAATCCAAAGTACTTGAATTGGTTTAAAGGCATTTAATTTGACTTGACAATTTGGTTCAACTTCCTGATTGAGTCTGGAAACTCTCTTCAGTTCAGAAATTCTGCCAAATTGCCTTTGAATTAGATCTCTGAAAGGCAGTCTAGCTTGTGACAGGTAAATAAAATGTAGGAAAAATGACTTATATGTATAATGAGACGCAGGCATTATATAGATTAATTGCTTAACATTTTCTGTCTGATAAGGAACCTTAGTCTCTATTTAATCCTTGTGAAACTGTGTTAAGCCTCTTAATATATTGCTTCTCTGCTATTTCATGATGTAATTCCTTCTTTTGCAGATAACTACTCTGAAATCATGTTAGTACTGAATTTCTATTTATACTTAACAGGGTAGTTGTAAGGATGAAAGAAGGGAAGGAGGGAAAATGAGGCAGGTTGATAAGTTGCTGGGAGAAAGGTAGGAAGTAATTTTTATAATTATATCCTCAAATGATGAGTGACTTTTTAAAAAAATGGTACATGTCAATAATCTGCAACCCTGCTTCATTTTAACAGAACTAGGGTAAAGGTAAAGGTTCCCCTCACACATATATGCTAGTTGTTTCTGGCTCTAGGAGCCGGTGCTCATCTCCGTTACAAAGCCAAAGAGCCAGCGCTGTCTGAAGACGTTTCCGTGGTCATGTGGCCTGCACGACTAAATGCCGAAATTCCCACCAAAGGGGCCCTTATTTTTTACTTGCATTTTTTTTTATGTGCTTTCGAACTTCTGGGTTGGCAGAAGCTGGGACAAGTAACAGGAGCTCACTCCGTTATGCAGCGCTAGGGATTCGAACCGCCAAACTGCCGACCTTTCTGATCGACAAGCTCAGCCTCTTAGCCACTGAGCCACCGCATCCCTACTTAACAGGACTAGTATACTTTTAAAAATGAACGACTTTCATTTCACAGCAGTGAACTTTCCAATGTCTTAATGGAGACATTAAGAAGTATAAAGAGTCCTTGTCTTACAATTCTACAATTAGTGACTGTTTGAGGTTGCAACAGCATTGAAAAATGTGAGTTATGACCATTTTTCACACTTATGACTGTTGCAGCATCCCCGTGGTCACATGATCAAACTTGGCAACTGACTCATATTTATGACGGTTTGCATTGTCCCGGGATTATGTGATCCCCTTTTATGACAAACAGATCAATGGGCAAGCCAGATTCACTTCACAACCGTGTTACTATCTTAACAATGGCAATGATTCACTTAACAACTGTGGCAAGAAAAGTTGTAAAAAGGGAGTAAAACTCTCTTAACAATGGAAATTTTGAACTCAGCTATGCTGGTAAATCAAGGAGTTCCTGTACTGGTAATTGAACAACCACCAATTGACCAAAAGTTACAACAATCCTAATGAGAGGGATTTAATATGAGTCCTTGTAATTGTGGCCGTCACAGCATCTCTGGGGTCTCATGATTTGTGATTCTCCTGCTTGGCTTGTAATTATAATGATTTTGTTGTTAATTTTCCCAGGTGATAGACATTGACCGGCCGGACGGTTCAAAGTTTCGAATTTTGGGGAAAGGAGTCGAACAGGAGCCAAAGGGAGTTTTCAAAATCATTGAGGGCACAGGAGAGGTCTTCGTAACACAACAACTTGACAGAGAAGCCATTGCTACATATGAGGTGAGTCATCCTGGTTTGTGTTTATTTGATTGACTGATTGATCATTATATATATATATATACATACTTCCTTCCAGTCTTTTTTTACTGCATTAATGAGCTGTGTTGCCCTGATAACCCTGATACTCTTGGTCTGCCAATAAATTAGTCTATTGTAACATGTTGGACAAAGTTGAGATAGGAAAGACATAATATTGAATATGACAAGGATTGCTTTAGAAATAAGTCTGTAGAAATTCAGCCATTAGACTAATTCCTACAAAGCCATGACATTGACACAGATTAGACTTGCCAAGGAGAGAAACAATCCAGAACTAAGGAGAAATTTCCTAACAGTGAGAGCAATTAACCAATGGAATAGCTTGTTTTTAGAAGTTGTAGGTGCTCCGTCAGTGGAGCTTTCAAAAAGAGACTGGATAACTATTTGTCTGAATTGGTGTAGAGTTTCCTGATCAAGCAGAGGGTTGGAGACCTCCAAGTCCCTTCCAACTCTATTATTCTATATTCTGTTGTTCTACAGTAATCCATGCATCATGAGTTGACTGGCTACCTAACTTTTATTTAACTAGAGAACAGGAAATAACTGGTATTTGGTATTTCTTATTCTCAATTCTGTCTCTGTAGTCTCTGCTGCTTTCATTAGGTGGCAACTACTACACAACAACAGCTCTTTCTCATACTAAATCAAAGTAATATACTCCTTAGAGCAATTATAATACTTTTTCAATTTCTACACGGATTTATTTCTTTTGGCATGGCTGTTTTGCTTTTCCTTTCTTCCAGCTTTGCAAACCACGTTTAAAAAAATGCACCGTGTTAGATGAGCCAGAAAATAAATGCAAATGCATGCTGTCATTGCTGCATATTCTTTCTTTGTGGTCCATCACAAAATTCTTCACACAGCAGGTTGGTTGGAGTCCCACTGAGCAAACTACAGTCACAAAATTCAGCCCAGAGAGAACACACAACTTGATTAGACTGTGTGTGTGTTTTTTTAAACTGGGAGCTGCAATCCCTGGAGATTTTCTTGTTTTTATGGTAGTTCATAGTTTATTCAAGGTCAAAGAAATAAAAGGCAATGCATGCAAAGGAAAACAGAGTTTCTGGCCTATATGGTTTGTTTTAACAGGAGCATGCAGGAAAAATAGTCCAAAACCAGTCCAAGGTTCCAAGAGCTGGATCATGGTTGTTCAACAGTCCAGAATTTCCTGAGCATGATCCACACCAATATCATGCGAGAGCTGGAGATCAGTCCAATGCCTTTAGAATATTTTTGTTCTCCTCTCCTCTCTACTTGCCAGATATGTGAGACCTTATACCATTCTCATTTGACAACTCCAGTCGCTTAGGTGGTGGTGCTGTTTGATCAGCCTCATGTAATTCTTGGTTTTGTCACTCCTGAGGCTGACATTCCACAGATCCTGCTGAAGCAACTTCTCCATAGTCAGAAGCAAGAGTAGCAGATTCTCTGTGGAAAGGTACAGCTATTTTCTGAATTGTCAAGTACATGAAATGAAAATGTGATTCTCTGTAGAAGTGAAAATGATCAATGTGCCATGTAAATCTACTTAAACTCTACTAACGGAAAAGATGAACCCAACTCTTTCAAAAACAGTGAAGGAATATTCGTAGGACTATTCTTTCCTCTCTTATAAGTTTCACTGGCATGCTGATATGCACCAAGACACCACTAATCTAAGTGAATGGAAAAGCTCAAACCCCTTCTAAATTGGGAGCACCATCAGTTACCCACTCCTGAACAGGGCTAGGACTCTTGTCCAAGAACCACAAGTAGTTTCTAAGAGGGTGATTTCTTCATTGCTAACACGGCACAAATGTCCCTTGTGTTGATCATTGATTAGATGTGCATTGGTTTGGGTCAATGTAGAAGAGAGAGAAAGACAGAACCTGAGGGTGGAGTCAAGTGGGTCATTGGCTTGGAGTCGTTACATTCCCACAAATGATCTAAATGCAATCCCTCTTGAACTTGGTTGACTCTTATCTAGCACAAATTTAGTGCTGACTGTCAGCTGAGTTAGATCAGGGGTATCAAACTCAAGGCCCTGGGGCTGGATCCATCCTGTGAGGTGCTTAGATCTGGCCCACGGGGCCTCCCTGGAAACAGTGAAGGACTGGCTTGCAGTGCCTCTCCCAAGCTCCATTTTCACTGGCATAGGGTTGCAGGAGGCCACTGCAGCCAAAAACAGAGCTCAGGAGGGCCACAGGCAGCACTTCTCACCTCCATTTTCCCTGGCAGAAGGGTTGCAGGAGGCCCTCACAGACTAAATGGAGCTCGGGAGCCCATTTTCACTGGCTCAGGCCACTACAGGCAACCCCAACATGAGTGAGCACCACCCTGTGCAAGCCCCCCACCCCCACCCCCCCAAGGTCAAACACAACCCTGATGCAGCTCTCAGTGAAATCAAGTTTGACACCCCGACTTGGATAGATCCTTGTGTATAGGCAGGAGCAATAAATCACCTTAACTGGGACATAACACACAGCCCTTATTCTTTGCACCTGACAGCCCATCAAGCAATTCACAATGACACCTCAATCTATAAATGAATGAATGAATGAATGAATGAATGAATGAATCAACAAGACTTCGCTCTGGCTTAACATATGTTTTAAAACAAAAGCCAAACACTTTGATCAGCTGCTTCGATGGAGGGGGAAAAAAAGCCGTTTTGCGCATGTGAGCGAACGCACATTGTGAAACAGATCGATGTTGTCTGGTCAATCCCACTGACATCTCATCTGAGGCACCACTTCAGTTCAGTGCTTCATTTAAAGGTGGGCTCTTTGATCCATGTTCCATCAAACCCAGAGGCCCTTTTAAAGCTCTGCGTAGCTCTATTATTTATGAACCCATATTTGCAAAGATATGAACCTTGCTCAAGGCAAGCTATTGCTGTATCTTGTCCATCTAATTGGAAGAAAAACCTTTGCCTCTTAGGGAGAAAGTACAGCATCTTTCTAATTGAAAGCAGGAGTGATATTTACTGCCGAAAGTTTTAGCGAATATAACATAAGAGTGAGTTAGTACCTTCCTCTTATTCCCTGTTTATTACCCTATTCTGCGGATACTCTTAAGCTAAAGGAGAGAAAAGAAAGATAAACTCACAACAAAGGTCACTGCAATTTAAAAATAACACAGGGAAGGAACTCCTATTAATTAAGATAATTAATCTTCCTCTTTTCTGCTAGATGACATGGATTTTCATACCTTTGGTAATTTATGAATTACCCTGCTCATCTTGGTAAACAACCTGAAAATTTATTCCATAAATGGTAATAATAAATTCAACTGTATGGATGGGAGGTATTAATACATTAAGCACCTGGCATTTGTGACAGATAATTTATAGTTAACTATCAGGTTCCAAAGTCATTTCATTTCTTAAAATTGAAAATGTCTTTTCGCTTCACGGAGGATGCTTAGCAAAATTCAGAGTCAACAAAACCCCTTGATTACTGCAAAGTATTTTTTATTTTTTATTTTTTTTTGGCACTGCAATGTGAAAAATATGGAAAACTAAAGCTATTTTAAGAAGAGCCATTATTATTTTTCGTGGATATTGAAAGTGAAATCTGGTTTCGAGGAATTAATTCGTTTTCTGTTTGGACTGGGATGAATGAAAGGCTAAGGAAGGAAAGAACCGATGAAAAGGTTACATGGTTACAGAAGTAAGAGTCCTTGTTTACCCAGAAATACAGTCCTTTTGTGACACACTGGTGGCGCATCTAATGTAAGATCTTATCCCCCGTGGTGGACCACCAGACCAAGAAGCCCACAAGCAGGGTTGAAGACAACACTTCTGTTTCTTTTTTTCTTTCCCCCAAAATCAGCACTTCCTGCTTTTAAGCACTGAGGCTCTGTTATGCAAGCACTTAAAAGTTAAAGTTTTTTGTTTGTTTTTTAAAGTAAGACCATACCTGGAATGCTGCATCCAATTTTGGTCACCACATTACAAAAAGATGTTGAAACTTTGGAAAAAGAGCAGAGAAAAGTAATTCAAATGATTAAGGGCCTGGAGGCTAAAACATATGAAGAACGGTTCCAGGATATGGCAAATCTACAGAAAAGAAGGTCTAGGGCTGATATGATAGCAGTGTTTCAGTATTTCAAGGGCTGCCATAAAGAAGAAGAGGTCAACTTATTTTCCACAGGACCAGAAGGCAAGACAAAAAACAGTGGATGGAAACTAATCAAGGAGAGAAGCAACCTGGAATAACTAATAGCGAGAAAAATTAACCATCATAACGGCTTGCTTTCAGAAGTTGTGGGTGCTCCATAACTGGAGGTTTTTAAGAAGAGACTGGACAGCCACTTGTCTGAAATAGTATAGGGTCTCCTGCTTGAACTGGAAGTTGGACTAGATGACCTCCAAGACCTCTTCCAACTCTATTCTGAATCAAACTTACTATCAACCTGTAAAGCATGCCTGTTTCCAAGTTGCCATAAGCAGGGAACCAGAAGTACATTCCACGCTTATCTTACAAAGATTGTAGCTAGGCTACCGTCTTCTGCTCACAAAAAACCCTTCATTGGAGAGTGTAATTGATGACACTCATCATGTGAACTTGCTTTGTTGGAGAATATGATGTATGACACACTCAGGGGGGAAGGGGGGGAAACAGGATCACAGGTGGGATAATGCCGACTTGTTGCTCCTAATAAATCTTTAGGATTTTTTTCAAGGCTTTAATTAGGGCAATCTCCAGAACCCTGACACTTACTAGAGTGGGAAAAAAAAAGCACATTATTTTTTTATTTCCTAACTACAGTAAGACACGTTGACTGTAGTTCCTCCTTTGGGCCAAATCTTCAAAATCCTTCATTGAATACATTCCACAGAGGTCACTGTAGCTGTTTTTCTAATGGTCTCAAGTCCTTAATCTCATAATCATCCTGCTTAGCCTAAATTGGACAGCATCATGGACAGCATCATGGACAGGTCACTGTGGGATTTCCAGGGACACTTACTAAGAAACCAT